AATTGGCTTATATATATATATATATATATATACAAAATTATTTACTATAATATTATTTATAAAAGCACAAAAAATGAAAACAAACTAAATATTCATCAACTGGGAACTGGTAAGCAAATTCTGGCAAGATACAATGTACCAGGATACTCAAAGGAAATATTATGTGGATGTAAAAATAAATGATGATGTCTTCATGTACTGGTTATGAATTATCTCAAAGATATATGTGTATATTAAAAATCAAACAAAGAACAGTGCATATTTTTCACTAGGAAAAGTATAAATGTAGATAATTTCCTGTTTCTGTTTAAATGCTTTCTTAAAAAGAAATACAATAAACAAAATGTGTTTGTTGACTTTGGGGAAGGACCAGAATTATTAAAATAGTGACTACAGTGAATATTTTCAAATAGAAAAATTCAACTCTGTGAATGTCTAATATTGCTAATAACATTTACATAAAAATGTAAATTTAATAAAATTTAAACTGTAAAAAGCTTCTTAAATCTTTGGTTTATGTTTTATATCAGTTTTGAAAATATTTATGTTATTATATTCAAATATAACTTTTGCCCCAGGATGTTTTTCTTTTGGGGCTCCAATTAGACATGTATTTGACCTTTCCAGCAAATACCATATATCCTTTAAGGATATTTCATTTTTATTATTTTCATTATGTTTTATCTTTACACATTTATATAGTCTGGATATACTCTAAATTATTTTCCAATACTTTGATTCTTTTTTTCAATTGTGTATAATATGATTAAACCCATCCACTGGGCTTTTAATTTCAGTTATTTTTTTCATTCTGGCATTTTAATTTTATTTTTAATCAGTTTTCACTTATTGTTTAAAATCTACACCTTGCAATTTATGTTCTAGGCAATATTAATCAAAATTATTTTAATGTCTGGATATGTTAACTCTAATAGCTGGATCTTTTGTGGATCTAATCCTTTCACCTCTTTTTTTTTTTCTCCTAATTTTTTTCAATTCTCGTATTTGCATTTCTGGTTTTATTTCAATGACTATCATGAAAAATTATAAGGATAATCTGAGATGCTGATTAATATCTTTCTACTGAGAGTATTTAACTTTATTTCTGATTAAAGTGACCAACAATCTCAGCTTATGGCTGAGGAATTTTCTAGGATATGGTACTTCCTGAGATAAAGTGAGAAAATCCTGTGAAAAACTGAAATGGCTGCTCACCTTAATTCTTACAGAGTAGTAAAATTAGATAGTGAGTTGATTTAAAAAAAATACACAAAACTATATTAGGCTAGTCTATTTCTAATTTTCCCTTATTTCAAGGTGTAACTTTTCTGGAGTCCAAGTAAATGCCTAGGAATTTACCAGTTTCCCCATCTAGGAGGATCTTTGTGTTCCAATTTTTGTTTCTCTTCACTCCAGCCTTTTGCTGTAAGCTCTTCTCATTTTGCCAGCTATTACTTTATTTTTTTTAATTTTAAAAAATATTTTTATTGACTTCAGAGAGGAAGGGAGAGAGAGAGTTAGATAGAAACATCAATGATGAAAGACCCGCAACCAGTGAATGTGCCCTTGACCAGAATCGAACTCAGGATCCTTTGGTCAACAGGCCAACACTCTATCCACTTAGCCAAACCAGCTAAGGCCCAGCTATTACTTTTAAATCAACAAGTTCCTGAAGTGGGAAAGTAGTATTAAATATCAGGCTCACTTTTCTGTTTTCCTTATCTTTGGAATCTTATATTCTTGTTGCACTGAATGCTCTCTGAAGTAATTTACAAAATACTTTTCTAATTGTTCTTGGTAGGAGGATTGGTCTGAAATAAAGTCATATACATTTGTATATGGAAATGCCTATAATATTTCATGCATTTTCTCATGTTCTGATTCATAATTTAACTTCATAACTCTCTGAATAGAATGGCTTATCATGTTGTCCTGTTGAGGAAATAAAGGATCAAGGTAGTTTCAAAACATCTAAATTTTAAGTTAGGATAATAAATGTAATGGCAGAAAAATATGGAATCAAACTTGATATTGTTCCATAAAGTCATATTGGATTATACTCATTATTGAATTTCATAGACACCCAGAGACTTATAGACAATTCATTGTGTGATTTTCTAGGATTTTGTCAGATTCTGAGGTTGTCTCTGAGACTGGACCTCAGGAAAATAGAGTGATAAAGATTAAAAAGAATGGAACTAGAAAATAATATATATTCTAAGCTTCATGTGGAAAGAAAGGGACCTTGTCTTTTTGATTACCATTTTATCTCTAGGGCCTAGATTTGTACCTGACCCACTGAGCATACTCAATTAATGTTCCTTGATTCACTAGTAAAAAGGATCCATGGAACTGTAGTTCTTGCTCAGTTGACAGTATAGTTTAGAGATTAATAGCTTAGCTTAGACTCTGGAGTTTGACACAGCTAGATTCCACTGCCAGCTCTTAGATGTATAGGTTTGATCAAGTTGATTACTATATCTAAACATCAGCTTTTCATCTGAAAAAATAATCATAATTGCATTAATCCTACCTCATAGGGTTGTTGTGGAGATTGACTGAAATATTAAAGCACCTAGTATATATTTGCATCTCAAAAGTCTTAGTTCCTTTCCCTGGAAATATAAATGTAATTTTTTTACATTATTTCTAACATTTATAAAAGAATATCTAATCAGATAGAAAATGTTAATGTCCATAAAGGAATACTTGCCTCTTTTAAATATTTTGCAACCTGGTGGGATACCTTCAAAATTTTGCACAGTGAACAAGATGTGTAATCTTTGGGACTTTCAATTTGGAACCTTGGTGGGGTTGGCTGAATGTCACATCAGAGCCAGTATGGGAAGCCTCCTTTGAGCTAACTAGTGTGTCCTATTGCTATTGAGCTCATACCAACAATTCAAGAGAATATAATTCATTTCAATTCCTCTTTTGCCAGAAAACAGGGATCAAGAGATTTTTCAGACACCTTCCAGCTCCTGACTACCTTTCTTTATGGGGAGTGCTATGTTTTCATAAACAACCTTTCTTGCTTTCTGCTCCAGCTATGCAAGGTACTAGAAAACCTCTTGTCACAAAAAAATGTTTTTAAAATAACAAATTCTTTATACTGTTCTTTTACACATAATCCAAATCCATTTTCACCCCCACTCCAGTTCAGCCAGATTATGGAGAACCTCCTATTAGACACCCTATTTTAAGGTAACACCATTTGCATAATGTGTGATCTAGGATCACTTATGGTTATAGAAAAATGTTTCTCCCTTCTCTGTCCTTTGTCTAAACTCTGGATCTCTTCTCTGATAGCATTCGGACAATGCCACGGCGGATTTCCTTGGTCTTAATGCTGTACACAATGGGGTTGACAACGGGTGGGAAGAATAGGTAAGCATTGGCCATCATAGCATGCAGCAAAGGGGACACATGGTGACCAAAACGGTGCACCATTGACAAGCCAATCATAGGCACATAATAAGCGAGCACAGCACAGACATGTGAACCACATGTGTTCAGTGCCTTCTTACGCCCCTCCTTAGTGGCAATATTCAGTACAGTGTGGAGTATAAGCCCATAGGAGACCACAATGAGTAGCGAATCCAGCCCAAAAGTGGAGGTAACAATGAAAAGCCCATAGATATTATTGATAGAAATGTCCCCACAAGGTAGATGGATGAGGTTTGGGTGAAGGCAATAGGAATGGGAGAGGACATTGTGACCACAGAAGGGCAGGCGCCGTAAGAGCATGGGCAATGGGGCCATGAGCATAATGCTTTTCAGCCCAATGACAGCTCCTGTGCCAAAGATGCGGGGCAGGGTTAGGATGGCTGTATAGCGCAGTGGGCTGTAGATGGCCACAAATCGGTCGACAGACATGGCCAGCAACACAGCTGACTCCATAATGGAGAAAGAATGGATGGAAAACATCTGGAGGAGACATGCATCAAAACTAATCTCAGTGGTTCCAAAAAGGAAGATGCCTAGCACTGTAGGCAGAGTGGATGCAGAGACACCAACTTCAGCCAGTGCCAACATGGCAAGAAAGAGGTACATGGGCTGGTGTAGGGCAGCGTCTGTTCTGATGACATGAATAATGGTGCCATTCCCAAGGAAGATGATAATGTACATCAGGCTGAATGGAATGGACATCCAAATGTGCTCTTCTTCCAGCCCTGGGATGCCAACTAGAATGAATGTTGTAGGTAAGAATTCCAGAGAGTTATTGGAGCTCTTCATGTTGAAATCTCATTCCATGAAATCAATGCTACCTTGAAAATTAGAAACAAAGTAGTGAGATAACATTATTATGAAAAAAGAACCCTGGACACTGGGGAAAGGAAAGAAGAAAACAAAGCTCACAGATACAGGTGGACAAATATCTCACACTTGATAACTGACAGGTGACCACCATCAGGAACTTCCCACCAGTAAAGGGGTTGCAGTCTCCATCACAGAGAAATTCAAAGCTGATAGAAAATTATTCCTCTAAATTGTAGTTCTCCTTGGATCTGCTAAGAAAGAAGTGGCTGCCTTGTCTTGGTGTGAACATGCCTGACCCTAGAAAACTGCTGGGGAGACAGTCAGGTATAGTCAATCTCAGCATAAGTATAGACTAATATCAGAAATAGGTGAACAGAGATATTACTGGTAAATACAGAGATATAAGGCAAAGAGCACAGTGCATATAAAACAGCTAAATGTACTTGATAAATGAATATATATATCAAGGCTGAGAAGTGGCAGTGGCTAGAGCCTGGAGCAAGCGACTAAAAAATTAAACTAGAAAAGAATGGAGAAGGCAGGAATCAAGTTTGCTAGATTTGTATGCAGACTTAACGTTAATGAAAAATTTATGTCACGATAATATCCAGTTTCTTGACTCACAGTTCTCAATGATAATCTACCTCATCCATTGGGACTTCTTTCTGGCTTAGACACACCTCTGAGCACACTGCAGTAACACTGGGAATGGACTGTCAAGAAATGTTCTGCTTGGCAGTAGAAGGCAACAGAGGGGAGAAAAAAAACACAACTCCCCAAATTGGGTGTGTTTTAAACTGAGTACTGTCTGGGTGAGCACAAGAAGGCATTTTCAACTCATTCAATGACCCACTGACCCCCTGCCCCGCCCCCCCCCCCACACACACCACACACATCTGCTCACATATTTGCACATGCACATTTTCCACACTTGCTAAAATCCTGTGTGCATTTTCTCTGATGTGAATTCTTCCTTCAGCCCAGCTGCTGCTGCACTTATAGGGATGTCACTATCACAAGCCAGTTATTCAGTTCTTTGCTCTGCACATCTGTAACCAATCAGCACTCCTTTATGCCATGTACCATACAGGATCCTGGCAACACAGAATTCTGGCCCTACTCAGAAAACTTCTCTGCAACTTAAATATATATATATAATTTATTTCAGAGAGGAAGGGAGAGGGAGAGAGGTATAGAAACATCAATGATGATAGAGAATCATTGATTGGCTGCCTCCTGCGTGACCCTACTTGGGATTGAGCCTGAAACCCTGGCATGTCCCCTGACCTGGAATTGAACCATGACCTCCTCTTTCATAGGTCAATGCTCAATCACTGAGCTGAGCTCTTTGCTACTTTTAACCACAGGCCAAAGAACACATATTCTCCCACAACTATTCAAATACAGTAATCACATACCCTGAAGTCTTTGTAAGCTTGTTATAATTATTTTAAGTGCTACAAAAGACAAGTTTAGAATATAATAGGATGGACCTGGAGGGGAAAGCCTAGCTTATTTTTAAAAGTCAGGAAAAACTTTCCTCAGAAAGTGCTATTTTAGCCAACATCTGAGTAATTAGTAGAAATTTTGCAGGCAAGAATGGAGAGGTTGGGTGTAATATGGTGCAGAAAAAATTACCATGTCGGTGGGTATGTAAGACTGCACTATGACAAGGACTAAAACATGACATGGAGCAAATAAAAATGGCTGATGTACTAGAATTTTAAAACTCTTTTTGCATTACTTTTGCTTTCATGAAAATATGAGAGAAAAAAGTTTTTTTTAAAGTTTATTGCTTGCAACTCTCATGGTTTGATGCAGCTTACCTCAGCAAATATCAACTTAGGGAAAATTGTGCTGTGGGCTGTGCTCAAATGTAGGACTGGAAAATTCAGAGCCAAATTTTGAGCTTCAGAAATAATCATGCATGTTAGAACTTCTCATGGCTGAGGGACTTGAGGGACACCTCCGTTCCCTACGTGTTATGGCCTTTTCTATGTTCTCTCCTCACTTCCAAAAGTCCAACATATCTCTCTTAACTCTTTAAATAGACTAAACATAGGTTTGCCTTGGGTTGAGTAGCTGTTATTTCTGCATGTGGCCTCACTGCCCCCTTGGTCCCATGCACTCGACTTCTTATACCATTCAAGTGACCTGTTGGTAAAAGGGACACATCTTGAGAGATGCATGAACTTGGGGTCTTCCCTACCCTGTTTTCAACTGTCTTCTCTGCCTCTCCATGCTCTTTTGTTTCATTTTCCGTTTTCCTATTCTTCTTGTTTTATTGCATTCTTCCCCTTCTCTACCTCCAGAGTCTTCACAGCCAAACAGGGACCAGGTCTCCTTTAAAAAGATCTTAGAAGGCAGTCATCCCCCATGAGTTTAGTACTTGTATGAAGAGAGCATTTCAGGTTGGGAGAAGTTAAAATGAATCACTAGTCTGCAGCCAACAGTAATGGGACACACAACAAATCAGCAGAAAGAAGAGAATAAGGTGCAACAGACACTGCATCCCTGGACATGGATGCAATTGGGTGTTCTGTGCAGTACAACTTTACCCACTTAAGCTTTGTGAAACTCCCTTTCTTTATTTTTAAGGATACAGCTGTTAATACCTACCTCAGAGAGTGGCTCTATTTCATGTGAGCTTTTGGTAACCATTTAATATTAGTAACCCCCACTCTTTCTGTCTTTTTCTCTCAAGCATTCTCAGAAGGAATCAAAGACCAACTATCCCCAAGTTTCTGCTAATAATGATCTTTCCTTATCTTTGCCTCACTGACACTCAGACCATCTTTCTGAGGGAAACAAGGACACAACTTACGGATGATCATATAAAGAAGATAGATGCATTGCTTAACTCACCTAAGATATTATGATGGAAAAACTATTTCTAGAATCCATGGTATTTTCTGATATGTTCCTTTTGTTCTTTACCTGCAATCACGTTTGAGAAAAGCTTCCTCTTGCTCTATCATACAGATTCAGGAAGCTAGGGAGCTGGCTACTGATTATAGAAAAGCCTAGAGAGCTAATTATGGAGTAGAGTTGGGACTCCTGGAAGCTGCTGGCAGGGCTGGGAAATTATGGCCTCAGACACTCACCATAAGCAGAGCTGACCTCTGAGCATCAAGTGGGAAGGGGGAAGTTCACTCAGCAAGTCTCTGCCACAATGGCATTAACATCTCTCTGGTCCTGGGGCTGGAGTGCTTCTCCCTTCTTTACAAACTGATTAGCTGTGGGGAGTGAAGGAATGGAAAGATCCTTCTGTCTCCTGAGGAGCAATTATCCAGCTAACTATATCACCTCTTCTCAATGTCCAGGGGGCCTAAGGAAAACAGCAAGGGTATAGAGTCATTACCTTTGTGAAATGATTTATAGTAACAATCTTCATCTACTAGGAGAATAAAAGAATTGATATATGTAAATTGCTTTAAAAAGTGTTTAGCTCATATAAAGTTCACCATAAGTGTTAGCTAATACTATAATTATTATTATAGTAGATCAATTATATTATTATATACTAGAGGCCCAGTGCACAAATTCATACACCAGGGGGGTCTCTTGGCCTGGCCTGAGGGATCAGGACGAAACTGCCTCTCTGACATCCCCTGAGGGGTCCCGGATTGCAAGAGGGCAGAGGCCAGGCCAAAGGACCCCACCAATGCACGAAAGGGGCTGAGGAGGGACGTGGGACTTTGGCCAGCTGGGGAGGGACCACAGGAGGGCTGTAGGGCATGTCCAGCTTGCTGATTGGCCGGACCCCAGCAGCAAGCTAACCTACTGGTCAGAGCATCTGCCCCCTGGTGCTCAGTGCATATCATAGAGACTGGTCGGCTGGTTGACTGTCTGCCCTCTGGTGGTCATTGCATGTCATAGCGAGCAGTTGAGCAGCCTTAGCATATCATTAATATATTATGCTTTGATTGGTTGAATGGATGATCGGACACTTAGCATATTAGGCTTTTATTATATAGGATTGATCTACTATAGTCTCAACTTTGAATTTTATGCCTTTTATAAACATGCATTTAACAAGTAATAAGCAAGGCACAACATTGTTGGTATCTAGAGCACATTAAGGGTGTTTAATATCAGGAGGTGACAGAATCCAAGGGTAAAACAATTGTGAGTAAAAGTTCCAGATTGGGTTGGGGGCAGATTGTTCATAAAAGCATGATAAATAGGCTTCCTAGTATAAGGTGACTAGAGAGAGCAGAAAGTGAACACTTGCAGAACCCAATGTTAAAGAGAATTTAAAATTGCTGAACTAATGAGTTTTGATTATTTGTAGATGGCTGTATTGTGTTGTTGTTGTGTTTTGCTTTGTCCTTTTTTTTTTTTGGCCAATTTTCTGATTGACAAGAGAAAAAAAATAATCCACCATGACACATTTATAGGACTTTTAAAGTTTTTCTAAAAATATATTTTTTGTGCTGCTGGTTTAACAAGAGAAAGAGGGCTCTGTGTAATCTGTGAGGAGATGCTTTAAAAGAAGGTTATGTGGATAGAATAGATTCAGATATATGTAAAGTCGAGAGTAGCTGAGAGACTTGGAAAAATGGAGGGATTTAGTGAGACATGATCATAATAAAGTCAAACAATACTAGTTGAACAAGCCAATGAGGGAATTTAGGAGATAAAATATCTGTGAACATAAAATTGTCTATGGACATTAATAATGGAAGAGAAATACTCTGACTCATAACTAGATCCAGGATATGGTCACAAAGTGAGAGAGGACAAAGCAGAATTGAATTAAACTTCCTTGGAACAGAAGCTGTGATGTAAGACCATCAGATGAATGATACATATGGACACTGAGCTGAATTTGGAATGTTGACATATTTTCCCCCAGATGTCAGTTCCCATTTTAAACATTAAGCAAAAATAGACACAAACAGGAGGTTGTCACTTTCCATTATAATCTAGGATTGTGTTCTGGGGTATTGTTGGTCAAATTTTCCTTTATAAGT